ATATATTATTATTTTTATTAAACTTTATTTATTAACAAAATTATTATTTGATATTAAAATATATTAAAATAATATAATAATTTTTAAATAATTAAGTAATTTTATAAATTTTAAAGAATTTTAAATCATATATAATATTATATTACAATATATATACAAACCTAATAAATTTTACTTACATGCATGTTTAAATTAATAGTTTCTTTTTTCAACACATAGAAAAATCTCTCAAATCTCTCTTTATAATGATATACAAGATATTTGCTAATTTTAAGTTATTTATCAAAAAATATATTTAAAAATTATTTAACTATCCAAAACTTTCAAATTTAAGTGGAAGACCAATTTAATTATTTTTAAATTGCTAGCAACAAAATTTAATTTAAATATATTATTTTTTAAAAAATGTATTTTCATATAATCTAAATATTATTTTTAAAAATTTTAAATTTTGAAATATTAGTGATGTATTATCTTTTAAAATAGATTTCCTAATAATATAAATATAAAACTTTTTAAATCTAAAAATCTCAATTGTAGTGATATTATAAAATAGAATTCTTAATAATTTAAATATATGTCATTTTAAATTTGAAAATTTAAAATATAATTTTTATTTTTAGAGATTTCATAATAACCCTTTATTATTTGATTATTTTAAAATTTAAAAAGACCAAATATCACATACATAGGAAGATGATTTATTTTTTAATGATACTCTTAATATTAATTCTATTTCTCTTTTTTTTTTTTTTTCAACCGTTACGTTTGCAAAGAAATAGTTTTGTACCATGTGAGATATACAAAATTTGTTACTATATTTTTATAACTTTTTGATATATGAGATGCACAATTTTTTACTATATTTTTTATAATCTATGCATTCATATGTTAAAAAGTTAAAATCAATATTTTTTTTTGTTTTTAAAATTTTTATGAAAATTTTGAATATTTTGTTCGTTCCAAAATGTATGCATGGATTTTATTAAATTTTTTTTACAATTCATAGATGTTGGAGCCAAGGAAAAAAAAATCACAATAATAACTCTTTTGAAATATTTTGACAATTGAAGGTAAAAAAATATTGATTTAATTGTTTAAGCATGATTTGTTGGTTTTATTTATTTATTTAAAAAAAAGACTATATGGGCTTACATTTAATTGTTGAATTTGTTATGCTTTTTTTATTTTTTATTTTTTAATTTATAAATAAAAGCGAATGACTAAAATGCAATACTAATTCTAGTATAATTATTTTATATAAAAGTAAATTTATGTTTATTTATTTAAAATTAAGTTTTTAAATTTTAATTCTTTTATAGTATTATTGGTTTTTTTTAGAAAAGAAATGTAAATAGTAAAAGCAAAAAACAATTTTTTTTATCTTTGAAATTGATTATATAATCCTGTGAATAGGACTTGACACATTCTCATTAAAATATTTTTACAACAAAATTTTAAAATAATTATTTAAAATTTTAATACTATTACTTAAAATTTAAAATTATTTCATTTTAGCTTTTATAGTAATGCAATTTTGCATCAAATGTAAAGTTTAGAACAAATATAAAAATTAATTTGACGAATCTTATAGATTTTGAATATCAAGATATCACTATAACTCATTCAAATAATGTACATATGAGTAAGTTATCACGCATATTATTTGAACATTTAAAGTCATTTTTTTTCAAATTAATAAAATTATTTTAAAATTATATAATCTTACAGGCGTATAAAAATGATTGCATAAGATAAATTTGACACAAACTAAGAAAAGTTAATTTGAAATGAGAAAACTTTCAATTTAATATTTTATTGGTGTACTTTATAATACTATTTATATATAAATCTTTTGGAAATTTTATTTTTCTTCAAATTTTATTCTATGTTTTGAATTTTTAATTAAAAATTTTAATTTTATTATGTTTTGACATCTTAAATATATTATTTATAGTTTATATATATATAAATCTAAGTGATTAAATAATATTAATTTATATATCAAAATACATTTAAATAAATAAAGATAATTCATATATTGAATGGATAGTAAGCTATTTATTATATATAATTTTTAATTTAATATTTTTAATGGTTATTTTTTTTATTACCACTCATCTCACCATCATTATCAAAAGCAGATCCACCTTTTGTCAAAGGGTGTCCATGAACACCCTTAAAATATTAAAAAATAAGAAAATTTGAGGTAAATTTTTCCTTGAACCCCATTTCAATTGATAAATTTGGTAAATCCATCGAAATGTTTTTTTATATATATTGTAAGTAGACATTATATAATATATAATATATATATATATATATATTATAAGAGGATATCTCTAGAAAAAATTCTGAACCCATTATTAATTATCACTGCTTTTACATCAAAATTTATATTTTACAATTTATTTTAATCTCACTCATTAATCTTGTCTCTATTGCTATTTTTAATTTCATCAAAACTAATTTTACTGTCCATCCAAATGAATCATAAGTAAATATAAGTTATTTATAATGGGTTTAGTACATAAGATTATAATAGGATAGACTAAAATAATATTATAAATATGATTAGATTAAAATATGTCTTCTTATTTTATGTTTGATGTGTACAATGATTATGATAGAATAATTTATTTATTGATCAAATTTATCATTCTTCAAAGTTTATACAATTTAAATTATTGTTATAATTTTTAAAGATTAATAAGACATATAAATTCAATGTCATTAATTAAAAATAATCTTCTCCACTTTGAGATGATTGAATCATTTTATAACAAGAAGATAATTAATACTTTTTGTAGTCTTATTCCTTTTTTTAGATAAAAACAAAACATAATATAAGATGACTATCATCTTATCCTATCCATCATATTATGTATCGAAGATAACCTTAATTCATGGCATGTAATCATATTTAATATTATATTACAACATACATAAAAATTTAATAAAATTTGCTTATTTGGATGCTTAAGTGGATTCGATTTCTTTTTTCAACATGTAAGAAAATACTTAAAAAATCTCTTTCCAATGACATATGAGATTTTTTTTTTTTAATTTTAAGCTATTTATAAAAAAATTTATTTAAAAATTACTTAATTATGCAAAACTCTCAAATTTAATTGGTAGACCAATTCAATTATTTTTAAGTTGTTAGCAATAAAATCAAATTTAAATATATTATTTTTTTAAAAATACATTTCCAAATAGTTTAAATATATATATATTTCATTTAAAAATTTCAAATGTAGTGATATATTATCTTTTAAAATAGGTTTTCTAATAATAAAAATATATATCTTTTTAAATCTAAAAATCTCAAATGTTATATTATAAAATGAATTTCTAAATAATTTGAATATATGTCATTTTAAATTTGAAATTTTGTACTGTAAGTTTTATTTTTAGAGATTTCATAATAATTTTTTATTATTTGATTATTTTTAAATTTAAAAAGTTTAAATATACATACATTAGAAGATAATTTATTGTTTAACGATGCTCTCAATGTTAATTCTATTTTTTTATTTTTTTAACCTGTAAGATGCACATAATTTTTATTATATTTTTATAACTTTTTGATATATGAGATGTATTATTTTTTTTATATTTTTTATATAATTTGTGTATCCACATGTTAAAAAGTTAAATATTTTTTCTTTTAGAAATTTTATTATAAAAACTTTGAATATTTTGTTAGTTTTAAAATGTATGCATGGATCGTATAGAAAGTTTTTGACAATTCATGAATGTTAGAGCAAAGGAAGAAGATTGATCTAGCACAACAATGACTTTTTAAAAACATTTTGACAATTGAAAGTAAAAAATATTTATTTAATTGTTAAGCATTATTAGTTGGTTTTATTTATTTATTTATTTGAAAAAATTTACAAGCTTACTTTTAATTGTTGATTTTGTTAAGCTTTTCATTTATTTGTTTTCTTAATTTATAAATAAAAGCAAATGACTAAAACATAGTACTAATTCTAACATAATTATTTTATATAAAAGTAAAATCATGTTTATTTATTTAAAATTAAGTTTTTATAATTTAATTTTTTTATAATATTATTGGTTTTTTTTAATGAAACGTAAGTACTAAAAGCAAAAAGCAAATTTTTTTGCCTTTAAAATTTATTATAAAATTGTATGAATAAAAATTGATATTTTCTCATTGAAACATTTTTACAGCAAATTTTTAAAATAACTTTTTAAAATTTAATACTATTACTTAAAATTTAAAACTATTTTATTTCAATTTTTACAGTAATATAATTTTGCATTAAATGTAAAGTAAAAATTAAGGATAAAAGTTAATTTAGCAAATCTTATAGATGTTGAAAATTAAGATATTACTAAAATTCATGCAAAAACTATACATATGAGTAAGCTATTACGCATATTATATAGAAATTTAAAATCATTATTTTTTTAAATAAATAAAATTTATTTTAAAATTATATAAATTTGTAGGTGTATAAAAATGATTACATAAGATAAAAATTATACAAATTGGAGAAAGTTAATTTGAATTGTTGAAACTTTTAGTTTTCAATTTAATATTTTGTTAGTGTACTCAATAATACTATTTATATATAAATTTTTTGAATATTTATTTTTTCTCACATATTGTTATTATATATTTTGAATTTTTTAGTTAAAAATTCAATTTTATTACGTTTTGATATTTTAATTATATTATTTATACTTTACATATATATTAAATATCTAAATAATTAAATAATATTAATTTATATATCTAAATATATTTAAATAAATAAAAATAGTTTGTACATTATAAGAATAACAATCTAATAATAGTACCAAAGTAGTTTCAATCAAGTTTTAAAGAAGGATATAATATTCTTTGTTTGTTGGAAAAAAAATTGTAGGCAAAAAACATTACCCTTGAGGTTTTTTTTTTTTTTTTTTAGTTTTTAATTTAGTTTTTAATTCTTGTTTTATTATATTATTTATCTAACGAAAAAAATTATTATGCGCGTAAATTTTTTTTAAGACCAACTTCAATAACATGGTAACATCCCAAGTGGTCAAGCAAATTAACGTTGAGTTATCTTAACGACCGAAATGAATAATTAACCCACCGGATCTCGATACTACAGTCACATTTCTCAACTTGCTTCGTTCTCTGCGACTCAGGCGTCTCTCACTCGAGCGATTCGGCCCGATCTTACCAAGATGGAACCCGATGTGAGCATCGAGACCTCGTGCATGATCCGGATCGCCGTCTTTCCAATCGGCGATGTGCCTCCTCCTCTCCTGCGGGACTACCACTCCATGCTTCTGCGTCACCACACAATCCCTCTCTCCACGATCAGCTCCTTCTACAAGGAGCATCAGAAATCTCCTTTCGCTCACCAGCCTTGGGACACGGGCTCGCTCCGATTCAAATTCGTGTTGGGAGGGGCCCCGCCCAGCCCATGGGAAGATTTCCAGTCCAATCGCAAGATCCTCGCTGTAATCGGCATCTGCCACTGCCCTTCCTCGCCAGATCTCGATTTCGTCATCGATCAATTCAATGCCGCCTGCAAAGGTTACTCCTCTGCTCTCGTTCAACGCTGCTTCGCCTTTTGTCCTGGCGATTCTCAAGTGAGTTCTCAGAATTAGGGTTTTTCTTTACTTAAATCAAATCAGATGCTGATATGCTGCTATATGGTTATTATTATTAGTAGTTCGAACAATTGGTAATTGGCCGAAGGAATGCTGTGATTTGTGTTTCTGAAACCTTTTGTTTACTCCTTGTTTCTCCCAATAAACTAAGCAAAATCGAGCTTTTCGTGAATTACGTGGTCTGATTACTTTATTTTCTGCTGCAGCTGGAAGATGGTAAGAAGAGAGAGAACTTGGTTTTGTTTCCTCCTGCAGACCGTTCGACCCAGGAGTTTCACTTGCAGACAATGATGCAAGATATTGCTGCTTCATTATTGATGGAATTTGAGAAGTGGGTTCTTCAAGCAGAATCTGCTGGCACTATTTTGAAGACGCCTTTAGATTCTCAAGCTACTCTTAGCTCTGAGGAGGTTTATGTTTAGGTGTCCTGAGCTTTTTAATCGATATTTATTTGTATTGGAGCATTTAATTATAGTTTGATAGCATGGATTGGGAATTTTCTACTCAATCCGTTTGTTTGGATTAAAATAACAATGCAGGTGATCAAGGCCAAAAAACGAAGACTTGCTCGTGCACAGAAAACTATAGGGGATTACTGTTTGTTAGCAGGATCACCTGTTGATGCAAATGCTCATTATTCAACCGCACTTGAGCTTGCAAGGTTGACTGCAGATTACTTCTGGTATGCTGGGGCATTGGAGGGTAGCGTTTGTGCCATACTGGTAATTTTGGCCCTGACCAAGCTCATCTGCTATTTATGATATTTTTATGGGTTGTTAAAAGTGATTGGCTTATTTACAATTCATAGATGTGCATGAACTGAAATAAATGGATAAGGTTGGTCACTCTGTTATTGAAATTCATTATAAATGTTTACTTTCTCACAAAAGTCACTATCAGAGAAGTGGGTTTACGAGTTCAGCTTATAAAACTTTTACAATGAGGCATATGTACAATGTCACTAAATCTGTGTACCATATTGGTGCTGTGGCTCACATCCATTGGTAATGTTCTGTTGTGGCCACTCCCAATTTTAGTGACAAGTAATGAATTCCAGGGTTTATCACGTTGAATTGATGATGATTCATTTCCAAATTGAGGATTTATCGCGTGTGTGTGGACTGAAATATTCCTCCTTTGCTTCTCTGTTTTCTTTTTTGCCAGGGTGGGGGGGGGGGGGTCTGATGCATTTTAATTATGCTAATCTAACCTTTTTAATCTTAATGGTAAGTATGCAGGTGATAATATAGAATAAAGATCTGTACATAAGAATTTATTCATATACTATGTATTTATTTGTTTCCTTGTCAACAGGTTGATCGAATGGGCCAAAAGGATGTAGCTGTAGAGGATGAGGTTAGGTATCGGTACAATAGTGTCATTGTGCATTATAGAAAATCCTTCATTCAAGACAATGCTCAGAGGTATATGATGTTTTTATTTCTATTTGTTTTGATGTACCTTTCTTTTTTTTTTCTTTTGGATAATTAGTTGATTCTATTACCCAAAGAAGCAGAAGTGCTGCTACATAAAGTCTTATGAGCATTCTGACAAGTTAAGAAAACATAGCAGAATTAACTCCCCGATCTCTACAAAGTTCTAAATTTACAGAACCAGCAGCAATGTTTTTTAGCCCATGTACACATGCAAACAGCTCCTTTAATATGGTCCAGCAACAGAGATTCAATCTCGTCAACTTGGTTATATAATCTGCTGTTCCCCTCTCTCCACATGTGATAAATGAAAGCATTCCAAGAATGCAAAGAATGATGGAAATCAAGGCTCTCCCCTTGAGCTTTCAAACAGCCCACTGCTACTCCTCTTTCCATTCAGCTACCCTTTTCTGAAACTTGCAATGATTAAGAACCATCTGTGTTTAGGATTTGGAAAAACCACAGCCAAAGAAAGATGGTCTCTGGTTTCAAAGAAAGTTTCCTTCTGATGGCAAAATAGGCAACATTCCTCTACTGACATTCCCTAAGAAACAGGCCTATCCTTCATAGGAAGCCTATTTAACACAGCCATCCAAGAAATCATGGAATGCTTTGGGATGTGATATTGAAACCAAAGCAATCTATCTCAACCTTGACTTGCTTTCACCAGTAAAAGGCCAAATTTCAACTCCATTATTCTGCTGAATGAACTGATGAGCCACCTTCTTTCAGTTTCAGTTACAAATTTTTCAAGAATGCTTTTGGCATCTGCTCTCTATTCCCCATTTTCTGAGTTGTGTTTATGTTTGTGTTGTAGCCTTTTTCATTTGAATTCTCTATCAAGCAAAATGATGTCTTTATGAATCTTCTATCAAGCAAAAGTGTTTGATTTATGTGCATTGTTTATTTTAAAAAAAAAGAAAATTTATAAGTTTATCTTTCTGTCTTTAACCTTTTGAGAACTAACTTTTATAATTTTTTATAAATGCAGAGTTTCACCACTTACCTTTGAACTTGAAGCGACCTTGAAATTGGCCAGGTTTCTATGCAGGTATGTTTCAATGCTTAATGCCAATGATTTCATTGAGTTAGCTTGTAAACTGGACATGCAGTAGTTCCTTGGTAATTTTAGATTAATTCTAGGGAGATGGCAGTTTTATGAGATAGATCAGAATTTATCTTGCTATATTGACAATTTGCATGTATTGTTTTCTTTTGTTTTTTTTTTTTTTTTTTTTTCACTTATTTACTCTTGTTTTATAATGTTAATCTGATAGCCGAGATTTATGACATTTCCTGAGAAATAATAAGATATAGGCACTTTTATGTCTGTTCCTGTCTAAATTCCAAGTTCTTGTACATAGTGTTGTGAGTTAAGTATTCTGTTTAAAATGCATGTTGAAAGAAATTTTATTTTTGATTTTTGTGGTTATCGTAGGAGAGAGCTGGCTAAGGAGGTTGTGGAGTTGTTAACCAATGCTGCTGATGGTGCGAAATCTTTGATTGATGCTAGTGACAGACTCATATTATTTGTTGAAATAGCTCGTTTATTTGGTACTCTTGGTTATCAACGGAAAGCTGCCTTCTTCTCAAGGCAGGTAGCTCAGTTGTACCTACAACAAGAAAATAGATTGGCTGCTATTAGTGCCATGCAAGTATTGGCAATGACTGCCAAAGCATATCGTGTTCAGAGTAGAGCATCCATCTCAAAACATTCTCTTTCCAATGTGAGTATAGAAGTATGGAGGGAACCACGTAGATCACATTTTATCTATTGTAGCATTTTATAAAGGCACCGCAATTTAATTGAAATTTTCCTCGTGGTAAATTATCCTATTATAACAATCATTGCCACTTTTCTTTCTTTTATGACAGGAAACTGAATCAGGTCATGTTGATAGTGGGAAAATGCATCATCAATCAGTTGTTTCACTGTTTGAGTCTCAATGGAGCACCTTGCAGATGGTTGTGCTGAGAGAGATACTACTATCTGCTGTTCGTGCAGGAGATCCTCTTGCTGCCTGGAGTGCAGCAGCAAGGCTACTAAGATCTTATTACCCTCTAATTACACCTGCAGGGCAAAATGGTCTTGCTAGTGCACTGGCAAATTCAGCCGAAAGGTTGCCTTCGGGAACTCGATGTGCTGACCCTGCCTTACCTTTCATAAGGTTTGTTCACTGCTTTAAGTTTATCAAGATTTGGGAGGGAGAATTTTAGTTCCTTACTCTAATGGTCTTTGTTCTTGTGCTGCACTTAATGTGGAGATTTTTAAAGATAGTTCCTGAGACACCATGTAGTTTCTTAGTTTTTGTTAGGCTTTCTGCATGGGTTTCCCTTCTATCAAGAAGTTCTTTTGCAGAGGTCCGTGTATTATTGTTAATCATGAAGAAACTGTTGACTCCCACTTTCCTTAATACCTCAGTATTCAGAAATGTTAATGGTTGTTTATACCTATAGGTTATATTCTTTTCCTCTCCATCCCTCACAAATGGACATTGTAAAACGCAATCCAGCTAGAGAAGATTGGTGGGCAGGATCTGCTCCTTCAGGACCTTTTATCTATACACCGTTCAGCAAGGGAGAGCCAAATGATATTAGCAAGCAAGATTTGATTTGGATTGTTGGGGAACCAGTCCAGGTCTTTGTGGAGTTAGCTAACCCTTGTGGATTTGATTTAAGGGTTGATAGCATCTATCTCTCAGTGCAGTCGGGGAATTTTGATGCTTTTCCCTTAAGTGTGGATCTTCCACCTAATTCATCCCAGGTGATCATGTTATCTGGAATCCCGACATCTGTTGGGTCAGTGGTGATTCCCGGATGCACTGTTCATTGTTTTGGTGTTATTACTGAACACCATTTTAGGGATGTTGATAATTTGCTTCTTGGAGCAGCACAAGGACTTGTGCTTTCTGACCCTTTCCGATGCTGTGGATCACCAAGGTTAAGAAATGTATCTGTACCGAATATTTCTGTAGTACCTCCATTGCCATTGCTTGTGTCACATGTTGTAGGTGGTGATGGTGCCATTGTACTATATGAAGGTGAAATTCGAGATGTATGGATAAATCTAGCTAATGCTGGCTCAGTTCCAGTTGAGCAGGCACACATTTCACTGTCTGGAAAAAACCAAGATTCTGTCATCTCAATTGCATACGAAAAATTAGAATCTGCTCTTCCATTGAAACCTGGTGCAGAAGTGACTGTACCTGTGACCTTGAAAGCCTGGCGACTTGGCTTGGTTGAGAGTGATAATGCAGCTGGTAAGAGTGCCTCTGGCAGCATGGGTAGAACCGTGAAGGATGGAAGCAGCCCCTCATTGTTGATCCATTATGCAGGTATCTTCTGTAAAATTTATATGGTGCAACCACTCAATGTCTCACATATATTCAAGTACATATCTTTCTTATTTCCGTTATGTTGTCAATAACCCTTTTATATCATGGCAATGTTGTGGAATTTCCAAGTTTCTTTAATACCTTCTTTAAATGACTTCCCTTATAAGGTAGTCATGCTGTATAACTAAAATGCTAGCAGCTATGATGCATATCAAATCCCATCCCTTGCAGCTAATTATCCGCAATTATAATTAAAAAATTGAGTACTTTTTTGAACTTTTCCTCAATGATTATTAAAACTGATAAATCTAGTTTGTGCATTAAATGGAAGTATATCCATTAAGATCAACCCTTTCAGAAATGCTAACATGCAAAATTGTGTACTGAGGTTTTAAAACTTCTTCACTGGAGCAAGTGTTACTGCATTTGGAAGCTTTACATAACCAAAGGTCTTTTGACTTGGATGATTAGTAGCTTCTCCATGTTCAAATCATTCTTGAATTGTATGTAGCTAGGCCAATGAACTTTCCGAAAGAGATTTATCCACTGTGCATCTTCCTAGTGCTTAAATTCATCATTCTTTTCTCAGGGCCACTAGGAGATGCTGGAGATCTTGAAACAAACAAATCATCTGTGGCCCCGGGAAGGCGCCTGGTTGTTCCATTACAAATCTGTGTTTTGCAAGGTTTGTCATTTGTGAAAGCTCGTTTGCTTTCTATGGAGATTCCTGCACATGTTGGTAAGAGTTTTTCCAATCTGGCTAATGTCGATGGTAGCCCTTTGGATGAAGCGGTTGGCTATGGAAGTAAGATAGACAGATTGATGAAGATTGATCCCTTTAGAGGAAGCTGGGGATTACGTTTTCTCGAACTAGAGTTGTCTAATCCAACTGATGTTGTGTTTGAAATTAGCGTCTCTGTTCAGTTGGAAAAATCAAGCAATGAGGACAACCTTTCTCTTGACTATGCTGCTGAATATGGTTATCCTAAAACAAGAATTGACAGGGACTACTTTGCAAGGGTATTAATACCACTTGAGCATTTTAAATTACCTTTTCTTGATGATTCAATTTTTTCGAAGGATTTGCAGTCTGATGGGTCTACTGGTGGTAGAAATTCTAGTTTCTCTGAAAGGAATACCAAGGCTGAACTAAATGCTTCCATTAAGAACCTCATTTCCAGAATAAAAGTCAGGTGGCAATCAGGACGGAACAGCTCTGGAGAACTGAATATCAAGGATGCTATACAGGCAGCCCTTCAGTCGTCTGTCATGGATGTACTGTTGCCAGATCCTTTGACTTTTGGCTTCAGGCTTGCTAGAAATGGTTCTGAAAATGCTGCAAAACTTGATTTACCAAAAGAATCTGATACAATTATTCAGCCGTCTGCATCAAGGAATTCTGTCATTGCACATGATATGACTCCTATGGAAGTTCTGGTTAGGAATAACACCAAGGAAACCATCAAGATGAATCTTAGTGTTACATGCAGAGATGTAGCTGGAAAGAATTGTGTTGAGGGCACCAAGGCAACTGTCCTATGGGCTGGTTAGTTCCTTTTGTTTTATGGTATCATTCTGTAGCATTTTCATAGTTCAGTTTCAATAGAATCATCTTTAAGTCTTTTAACTCTAATCTATCTGATATATTGATTTTCATTTTAGTTTGCCTGATAAATCACAAAGAGAACTGTTTATTCATATCAAAACAGGCCAATTAGCGTGCGGATGCTGCCTTTTTTTTTTTTTTTTTTGTAAATTTGACAAATTTTTTGTAGTAATTATTATGATGATTAGGTCCATAGGCTGAAATATATATTGGTTTCCACATTTTTTGGTATAGTAAATTGTTAAATTGCTGATGAGTTTGTTGATCTCAGGTGTTCTAAGTGGAATCAGCATGGAGGTTCCTCCCCTCGAAGAAAGCAAACATTGTTTTTCTTTGTACTTTCTTGTCCCTGGTGAGTACACGGTGGTTGCTGCTGCTGTTATAGATGATGCTAATGACGTTTTAAGAGCAAGAGCAAAAAGCGAATGTCCCGATGAGCCGATTTTCTGTCGAGGACCTCCTTTTCATCTCCGTGTCAATGGGACTGCTTGATGATTTTTTCCGCCCGCATGTTTATCTCTATTACCTATTTTTATTTTTATAAAGAGTTTCCAACTCATGGATTAAAAGTGATTGACTTAAATATTTTTATATATTTTATTTATATTAACACTTTTATTATCCTTATTTTAAATTAATTAATGATGATTTATTATTTAAGTTTAATTTTTTTAAATATAATAGTTAAATTTATTTAATTTAACGTCTTCCAGTTTATGAAATTCGTGCTGTCGAATTCACTGAAGCATCTTTATACTAAAACCCAGCAATAAATTTCATGTTTTATTTGGTTTAAACGGATTTTAATTTTAAATTTGCTTCACATTAGATTTATTGTTCTTTGAGCAAAGATTAACATTTGATATTCGTACGAGTTGTTTAATGAAAACATTCTATTTAATAAAATGCTGATTAGAAAATTTTAAAAAAATTATAAATTAAAAAAAAAAGAGGTTATAATCCTTCAAAAGTATTTTTATTTTTTTATATTTATTCAATAATATATTTAATACTAGTTTATATTTGATACATTACATTATATAAATTTTATGTATTGTCTGTGATTCAATGATGTTACTTCATCCATGATTAATCATAGATTTTTATAACTGTTTAAAATAAATATATAATTTAATTTACTAATAACGTATAAAATTTATATATCGAAAATACATAAAACATAAACTTATTTAATAAACTCATTTTATTATTATTATTTTTTTTTACAAAGCAAAGTGATAATTCTTCTAATTACAATTTTTCCTTATTTGTTCACTTAACATACTAAGTAAAAAAATAACAAATTTTTGTAATGGATGAAAAGTAGTATTTTTATTCTTTCAACAATAAAGAAAAAGTTATAATTTCATAAAAAATGTAAAAGTTATAATTTTTCAAATCATAATTTTTTTTCTTATTTGTTCACCTAATCTATGTAGTAACTAATTACTAATTACGATACATTTTTTAATTGATAAGGGAAGTATTAGTATTTCATTTTTTTTAATTAGAAAAATTAAAGTGATAAAGTTATAAGTTGCAACTTTTTATTATTCATTTGTATAATACATTCAACAAATAAATATTTGGATTGAACCAAAATTGAAAAATAAAATGACATAGATTGAATCAAAGTCTAAAAATAAAATGATTCGTATTGAGTTGAGGTCTAAAAATAAGATAACTTGGACTAAGCCAAAATCTAACAATGAAATAATTTGGACTAAGCCAAAGTTTAAAAATAAGATTACTTGGGTTGAACCAAAATAAAAAAAAAAAAACTTTGATTAAATTGAAGTCAAAAAATAAATAACTTGAATTGAATCAAAGCTAGAAAATAAAATTAAAAGATCTTGAAAATAATACTTGGAGATTTCAAAAATTATACCTGAAAGTTTTTGAGATTATACCTAGAAATCTTACTTATTATTTTTTATCTTTTAAAATACACTCCTTTGGATAGAAGCAAAGGACTATTAAAAATTTAAAAGCATTTTTCTAAAAATGTTTTCATCATTTGAAGGTTAAAATGAAAATATTTTTTCTAAATCAAGTACTGAATTATCATATTTGCAAATTTTCCTCAATCGATGATGAAAATCTTATTTTTTGAAAAGTTTTCCTTAATCGAGAATCAAAATCTCAATTTTGAAAATTTTTCCTCGATCGAGAATTGACAAGTTGAAAAATTCATTTTTTTAAAAATAATTATTAGTCTTTCACTAATTTCAACATTCTAACCAAAGTCAAAACTCCTTGATTGTAATGTTTGCAACGAATATCATGAATGTATGCATGAAACGCAATAAATGCATTTATAATTGTGGTAAAAGGTTTTCAAAGCTTTTTTTCCATCTTCAAAATTGGCTATCTTCACTGACTTTTATTAATTGCTTAATGACCATAGTGTTCTTTGGTCAATTTTGTCATTTAATCACCATATTTGTAGTCTACCAAAATGCTTCGTCATTCTTTTAAAGTCCTTAAGGATCAACATTTTCATAAGGTTTTTTCATCACCTCATTTTCATTCTACCTAGGTCATTTTCAAATTTTTTTTTGAAATAATGCAAAAATATTTTATGTACTTCATCATTTATTTCAATTTCAATGACAAATGTAATTCAATTAAATATTTCCTTAATTCATTATGGTGAAGAACAAGGTAAACTAAGGAAAAGAGATATTCAATACAAAGACAAATCTAGTAAAAAACAAATAGGTAGATGGACTATTTCAAAGCACATTACTAGGATAAGTGTTTGGATGGTATAACAACATCCAAATAATGAATATTTAGATAATTTTTTACACTAATATAGATTTCTTTTTAAAAAACTCATTTTATTGACTCTTTTTTATCTTTTATGAGCTCATTAAACCAAAATTTGTCTTTATCCCATGGGATTCTCAAATGATCTTGTTCTTTTTAATCCCAAGCTATCTTTTCATGATTTTAGCCCAATATTTTTCTTTTACTTAAGTTGCCCTTTTAGGTTTTCAATTTAAATCTTCCTTTTCCCTCATTTTCATTTTTTATTTCTTTTTCTTTTTTCTTTTTTTCTCTCTTTTCTTTTTTGCTTCATTCACCATAGACATTCCTATTGAACTCCAAATAAATCCCAAAATATAAGAGATAATCTTATTATCCTTTGATTATACCACAAGCATGCCTTAGTTCAATATATGATTATTTAATTCAAGCATTCATATTTGATCAAAATGGATTTTTAAAGCACATAATGTAAGCTAGGGTGAAGAGTTATATAAAAATAGATAAATTATGCTCAAAATATATGTTTGAAGGGTTATAAACCAAACGATCATTTGAAGCACATTGACATTTTGCCCCATTCCTCATAATTTCTTTTTTCTTTTTCATTTTTTCACCATTTTATTCTCACTCTTCATCTTCAAATTTCTTTTATTCAAATTTTCCTTTCCAAACAAGATTTACACACAAGAAGGTTTTTTTTTTTTTTTTTTTTTACCTTGAAATCATTTGTGGCATTTATCCTTTTTTTTTTTTTTTGCAAATAAAATTTGTTCCTCAATGTGGAGGGTGAACTTTAGTTACTTTTTTTTCATAATAAGCTCAAAAAAAGAATCAATTAGAAAATTTTACTTTTTGTGTTAAAGGTATACGAAATATGACAATTTTTCATCTTAACTGTGAATATTTTCATTGAAAAACATTTATTAAATAAAAAGTCAACTTATGGATAAATTAATGTAAAGGACCACATTCTCATAAAAGAATTTCACTTTCACCTTTTAATTGATGAACATATATATCATGCTAATTTTAACTCATATTTATATAAATTCATTTTCCTTTTACTCATATAATCTCTATAGATTTGAGGTCTAAATCATTAATCTTATTAAAAAGAATAAAGTTTTTAAAATTGAATCTTAAATTGTTGTCATGATTATTTGAACATTCAATACTTGGAATATGGGAATGGGTGAAATATGAAAATATATTTAAAAGAAAGGATGAAAAGAAGAATATGTAATGAAATGAACTCGCCATTTTATTGAAATGAGAGATAAATAAAAGATAAACACATAAAAACCACCCTAATGTTTAGTATTTTCTAAAAACTCCTAAGGTGATAAGCATCTTTAATAAAATTTCTCAATATCATGCCCCTATATGGTTAGGCAAAGAATTTTCAATAACACTCGGCCTTTCTTTAGTATCAAAATTTAGAAGGCCAACCTTAATAAGGCCTTGTACTATATGTTTCAAGACAACACAAATTTTTATTGAGTGACATGCAATCTTATAATGATAGTCATATTGAGCATTATAATTTTACCACTTTTGGTAAAGATATTTCATTGGCTTAACATGAGCAAGGGCTAGCAAATGTTTCTCCTCAAGTTGTGATAATAGGTTTATATATGATATAGGGATAGGGTCAAAAGATGTTTTTTCTTTGTTGTTTTGTGATCCCCTTAAAGCATTGGTCTAATTGTTGGGTTTTGGAACTTGTCTTGCAATAGGTGTAGTGATAGGGCTATATGCATGTCTTGGTGGTTGAAAGGATAGCTAAAAGCAAGTGAAATTTTTGGTTGTTGGATTGGCTAGTAAGGGTAGGGAATGGATGCTACATTATTTGTGGTAGAGTAATAGGCTTGGTACACTAATTGAGAATATGAAGTAAAACTTCAAATTTGTTACCCCTTATAGCTTACAGCTTGAGATTCATTTTTTTTCTTCTTAGGCTTTCTACGTTTCTTTATGCTGGTAGTCTCTCATCTATCTAGCTTGCCATCTTTGATGGCATTTTCAATTATGTCATTAGAGATAACCATGTCAACAAAGTTCTTAGTAGCATTCCCAATCATTTTTTGTAGTAAAGAGCCTTCAAGGTACTAGCAAACAAGATAATAGTTTTTTCTTAGTAAAAGATGGTTGGACTTAAGCAACCATATCTTTCCTCTTCATGTGTACTCTTTAAAAGATTCAATTATCTTTTTCTCCATACTTTATAGAGATAAATGGTATGGGGCTAGGTTTATGATGTAATAGTATTAAGAAATGAATGCCTTTGTCAATTTCTTCCACCTGTTCCTATATTCAAAAATCAATCTTATGGTACGAGTCTTATCTAACTGAACTTACCATTTAGCAGTAGAGCTTGTGAGATTATTTTGAAAAATATAGATAAACAGCTTCTCATCATTTGTACGAACTATTATTTTCAAAAAATACATTGTGACACGAGTCATAGAGCATTTAGTACCATTATACTTTTTGAACTATAAGATTTTAAACTTTGGTGGGAAAACCACATTTGGTACCAAAAAGAGTCCAACCACATCTATAGAGGCATAAAAATCCATCTTGTCAATAGTTCATAACCTTTCTTCTAGCTAGTTCATCTTTTGCTTGGGGAATAATAGAAAAATTAAGTAAACCATTAAATTTAAAAAGGCTAGAATAACAGAAAATCTATTACTGGCTTGACTTTTTACAGTCCTAGCAAAATTGCCAAACTATTATAACATAGAAGTCTATAAACTTGATCTCTAGACATAATAAGAGAAGTTGCCATAAATATTTTTTGTTTATTTGTGATTGGCTA